TCTTTTAAAAGTCTGCTTGAGATATGCTACTTTAGCATTGGACATATACTTACAATATTTTGTGTGTTTATTAAATTGATACCGTAGTCATCTCACTATCCAAAGTGACTCCTATTCTTCCCTCTCTCATCCTCTCCACACTTTCAGAGCAGCAGAGCCAAAACCATGGATGGGGTGAATTCTCTATATGAAAAAAGGTGCACATCCAACTTCCTCTAGGTGCATCCTGGTTCCAGGAAAAATATCTGTGCCAGCACTTCTGGCTACCAGCTAACAATCTGGATATTCACTGCAGAATTGTAATATGCAAGTTGAGGCAAAATTTTAAGAGACAAGGATCCTTTTAAAAAACAAAACTATTATTGTGATTTGCAATGTTTTTTTGCTAATTTCCAGCATTTACTTCTAGTTTCCACTAAAATTTCCCCCACTCATTGGGGGAAATTGATGTAATGCCTGTTGCAAGAAATCTCTAAAAATAGGTCTGATTACAAGATGCCTCAACGTACAACTGCAACAATGTACAACTGGAATTCTGCACTCAGTTATGGTCATAAGTTGAGGACTATCTATAAGGAAAGAGAGTGGGCCTATTCTAACTCCCTAGAACCCAAGAGGGGTTCAAATGGCTACTCAATCTGATGGTGAGAGTGCTCTTTCACAATGTTACTTAATAGGATATCTGTGTGCAGTACTCCAGCGAGGAGTTCTTAGAATATTAATGTTATTTTGCAACTTTCTCGTTTCTCTAGAGCAGTGTTTCTCAACCTCAGCATCTCATAAGCTGTGGAGACATCCATCCATCTTAAAATTGCTGACTGGGGAGTTCTGGGAATTAAAGTCCTCTCATGAGTGCATGTTGACTACATGCTGGCTATGGAATTCTGGGAATCCACTCCTATTAAATGATCTAACAATTGTCCTGTTGGTCTCTAGCTGTTCCTATTCCTAAGCCTTGGATGATGAATGCTCCAGAAGCAATGTTCCCTCTAAGCTGTGTGGGTGCACGGCTGCGCACATGGCAACAAAACACCACACAGCAGTTTCCAATTGCTGCTCAATAGTTTTTGTGAGACGCCTTCCATGATAATAGGAGAGGAGAGCCAGCCTGGAGACAGCAATCAGTTCTAGGTCCACAAAGCAGAAAGTAGCTGAGAGAAGGAGTGTGGGGGTTGGGAGAAGGCGTGGGGACGGGCTCCCAGCAGCGGCTGCTCGGATTTGCCATTTAAAAGAGAGAGAAAGAGAGAGAGGGAGGGAGGGAGGGAGGAGGGAGAGCGCGAGCATGTGTATCCCTCCTTCCTTCAGCCCAACACTCTCACTGGCATCCCGGCCAGACTAGAAGGACTGCAGAGTGTCTCCTCGAGTCTAGGGCAGTGAGTCATTCAATGGGAAAGTTGCCTCTTGGAAGGAATGACCTGGCTTGGCTCCCGCTTCGTCTCTCCTGCCTCTTTGCTTCACCGTTCGGTCGTTGGGCGGCAGATCAAACACACACACAAACCACACACACTCCTCCTCCAAGGCAGCCACATCCCTTCACTAACTTGGTTTACAGCTCGATTCTCCGCTCCACATGCAGGACAAGAAAAGTAGACTGTGTGCTATGGTGAAAAAAATACCAGAAAATACCTTCTAAGTTCTTGTGGGGAAAAAAATAGATCTCGTGAAATTGGAAGTAGTCCCACAAACTACTTTTCTTGCCCTGCACATGGCAGTGGAGAATGGAGCAGGAAAGCAGGTTAGTGGAGGGATNGCGGCCGCGCAGGCGCGCACCTTAGAGGGAACAGTGGTCCTTGAACCAGAAAACAGCTGCAAAGTTTCCTAGGCTTCGCCAACTTCTATAAAGAGTTTATTCCAGCTTTAACCCAAATCATTCTGCCAATCACCAAGCTGATAAAGACAGGTAGAGGGGGAGTAAAACCCAGGCCCATCAGCTATTGAACTGGACCATGGAATGCCAAGAGGTTTTTGAGAAACTCAAGTTTGTTCTGGTGGCCTAAAATAAAGAAGGATGTGGAGAGCTACATGATGAGCTGCCCAATGTGTACATCTGTGAAATGAATGCTAGGAAACATCCCTAGCCAACCATGGGGAGAAATAACTATGGACTTGTGGAATTGCTGTAGAGTGGGAGAAGCACAGTGATTTGGACCATGGTCAGCTTATTTTCAAAGCAAGCCCACTTCATTGTGTTCCCCAAGCTTCCGTCAGCTTAGAAGCTAGCTAAACTGTTTGCACAACACATTTACCAGCTGCATGAAGTTCCAAAATGCCCATCTCAGACTGGGGGATTGCAGTTCAATTCAAAATTCTGGCAGGAGTTTTTAAAGTTAACAGGTTTCTCCCAGAGGCTTAGTTCCAATTTCCATCCAAGCACTAACAGGGTAGCAGAGTAAACCAATGCAATAATCAGGCAATATTTATGTTGCTATGTGAACTATCAGCAAACAAATTGGGCAAAAGTCTTGCCATTCATAGGGATAATCTGTAATAACTATACAAGCATCAGTTCACAAGAGCACTGGGTTCACCCCACCCAATGTGGCTACAGGAATGGAGTGTGCCCATGTGAGAGCTTCCAAGTGAACCTCCCCCCTCAGTAATGCTGGTGGAGTGAATGGACACCCTAAGAAGCACTTGGGGAAATATGCAGAAATCTTTAGTGAAGGCGGGAGAGTCACAAAGGAAACAAAGATTGGAAGAGGCCCCCTAGAGAGAGTTCAAGATCAGGGATAAAGTATATTTATCCATAAGATACTTGAAATTAAGGCAACCCTGTATAAAACTGGGTCCTAAATACATAGATCCTTTCCTGGTGTGTGCATCATCAGCCCGGTCACAGGGGAATAAAAACTGCAAAAAATACTAGGGAAGGGGTTCCACTGGAGGAACTGGAAGGGGTTCCAGTTTGTTGAATCCTGTTAAAGGCTCTAACTTGAGACAGGCTGGAAGGGAACTACCACTCTCTATTTGGGTGAGAGGAGAAAAGCACTATGAAATTAATAGAATTCTAGATTCAAGGTAATAGAAAGGGAAATTGCAATATCTGGTACAATAGAAGGGGTATCCAATGTTAGAAACAGAATGGGTGAAAGAAGAAGATGTTAATACTGGTAGGTTAGTGAGAAGATTCCATGCCAAGCTCCCATGAAAACCAGGAGGGGGAGTGAATGCTCAAGGAGCATGAATATTGATATTCATGCTCCTTGAGCATACACTCCCCCTCCTGGTTTTCATGGGAGCTTGGCATGGAATCTTCTCACTAACCTACCAGTATTAACATCTTCTTCTTTCACCCATTCTGTTTCTAACATTGGATACCCCTTCTATTGTACCAGATATTGCAATT